TAAAAGCACACTGCTCCTGAAAGGCCCCATGGCTCTGACCCCTGGCTCACAGGGAGAGTGCAGGTGAGAGCATCTGTGTGCCCAGACGGGAGCTGCACCTGGAGCAGGTGATGCCAGCAGGACACACAGGGATGGACAACAGGGACCAGGACAGGGGACACACAGATCAGCCCAACCTGAACGCAAGATGCTATCAAAGTGCTATCAAAGAGTTATCAAAGCTGTTTCTGGCTCCAGCACAGCTGATTCTCAAGCACTGCAGAGAGTTCTCCAGGGTCTGCACTAAACAGTGCAGTAGCAACTTCTGCAGCTCTTTGATGGGTCCTGACTTGATTCCTTCTCATTTGTTCCCCTTCCTAACAGCCCACACGGTGACTCCCTGAAATGCTCCAAGTATAAAGATTAAACTCTGGTAAAAGCCTCAAGTTGTATCTGCACAAATTGCTTCCACCAGCCACTTTTGTGGTGACATTTATAATGCAGTGTTTGCAACAGTGCAACTTCATCATCTTATAAATATCAATTTCCCACTAAGAGAGAAGGGAAAGAACAGCAGACAAGGCAAGACAAAGGCAAACTTACCATTGTTTCTGGTTTTATTTTAATTGAACTAGTCCTGTTCAGCTAGGCCTATCTCTTACAAAAACAACAGTTTCTAGTTTAAACTGTGAAACTGTGTGCGTGTGTGTGTTGTAATTATGGTGCCTGCTAACAATTTCATACTGCCACACTGCACATATGGCTTCCAAGCTAGCTTTATCTGAATCTTTGTGAATCTATTCTCCATGCTATTAAACTGAGCACATTCCACATCGTTCAAAAGTAATTACACTTTTGTCTAGAGTGTAGGAGACTGCTCTCCCCAAACAATGAAATTCTCATTATGAGAGCTGGCACAGTAAAGGCACTGGTGTTCACAACACTGTGCATTGTATCTTCACAATAACTTATCCTAAGCTTGATGCTCAAAGGTACACTGGAAATTAAAATTTCTCTAAAACCACTGTGAGGTTGTTTTTTTATTTTTTTTTAAATATGCATTCTTTAGCTCAGTATAATTAGAGTCCTATTTGACTTTTTAAAAAGCTATATGCATTCAGATTTCCATTCTCCTCGGAAGGCCTGAACAATAGCTGAGTGCTCCAGCGCTTGTTGTTCTGATCCACCACCATTCATATGCTGACAACTCCAGGCCAACAGGTGAGGCACAGGCCAGGAGAGATGTGATAAGAGAATCCAAATGAAGCATTAAACAACCTTTTACTTGAACAAGTGGAGGAAAAGCACAAAGCAATGTGCTGGTAAGCTTTTTGACCAGCAGTACTGCCATTCTCAATATTATTCCCAAGTTACACAGGAGTGACTTCATTCACCACAGAAACACAACTTCTTTTAGCATGAAGCAACAAAGTTACTGAACAGTGCACCACAATATTTCCTATCAATTTAAAGCGCTATTGAAAATTAATTCTAAATCCCTCTAAATTTGTCCTGAAAGTGCAGGACATATGTGGGCTACCAGTCATCAGTTTGGAACAACCAGGGAATGGCAAAATTATGGCTTACCACTTTGACCTTTTCTTCAGTACTTCTTTTATTTATTTTATTTTTAATCCCATCCTGCATTTCACTGATATTCTACAGCTAAAAAGGATGGTCTGATTTAAACACACCATGCCTGTGGAATACTTTAATCAGTGCTTTTAGCCTTGATATTTCTCATTTTCCAGAATTTAGCACACGGACACCATTGGGGAGATCAGTGGTCTTGAGAGTTGCAAAAGCAGACAAATAGAACATAAAGGCAGGCAAACAGAAACAAGTAAAACAAACCTTTGTAACTCACATGAGCTAACAACTGTCTGTGCTACCCAAATACTGTAGCCTTAACAGGTTTCTTCAGAAGAGCCATTGACTGATACTGTAATCCTCAAGTGTTTCCCTGCAAGGCTCATGGCAGGGAAAAATCTCAGATATATTCCAGGTCAAACCACTTGCCTCTTATTTTCTACTGAGTAGTTGCTCTAAATCTGATAAGTTATTGTTTCATTTCTTATCAGGAGAAGAGTTTTCCTACTTGAAATAAGTACCCAGTTTCTTCTATCAAGAGAAAGCTGGAGACAGTGATCCCTGCCTTGGCTGAGGCTGGTGGAGATGTCCAGAGGACACCTGGCCCAACTGAGCTGCACTTCCAACATCCTCAGAAACATCCTGTTCACTTTGGTGGGCTCTGCAGATTTTTGCCAATTTCAATCAGGTTTGAAGATGTCCTTATAGGAATTTTTCCCTCCTCTCATAAAAACCTACCCAGAATTTTGAGCTGCCTCACTAGGCTGCTAAAACTCGGTGAAGTGCAACAGGGTGAATTTCCAGGATTGCAAGTTGGGAAGCTTTATCCGTAAAGTCCTGGAGCTTTATCAGTAAAACTCCATCAGACTGCAGCCTGTGCTGCTGTGTGCACACCTGCACACACCTGGGTCTGCTGCCCAGAGAGGATAAAACAGCAGAATGTCAACTGAAACAGTACAAAAATGTCCTCTGCCACGTTAGACAGTGAACGCCCTGTGGGAATGACTTTTGTCACTGCTAAGCACACAAACTGAAGCCACCCAAATGTTACCCAGTGATTTCCTTCTCATAACTACCTACCACAACAGCAGAGGGAGTGATTATGGCTATTTGACTCACTCAGACTGATCACTTCCTTCCTTCTGGAGACACACAGGCTGCATCCATCCTTTCTGAACTACCTGAGTGATGATTCACAACACAGTCCTCACTGAAAGGGAGATATTACCAAAATGTTACATTCATGCAGCCTGCCAATCCTCTTAAATATGTATAAGGACAAAACAAGACCCTTAGAGCTCCCCAAACACTGCCTCAGGTAAGGCTGCAGTGTGTCACTGCTGCAGCAAAACTACCTAAAACACCCCTGATTCAGCACCTTGTACTGCAAAAGGACAGAAAACACTGTTCTGACATCACATTAAACACAACCTCCATAGCAGGAAGCTACTCCAGAAGATCAGCGAAACCTCTTGTTCTTAGAAACTGAAATGACCAAAGAAGCAAAGGGGTTAGTTAAAATCAGCTAAAGAGCAGTTAAATGTCCCAGTGAGGTGTAGCTGAAATACTCCTGCTGGATCCTTAGCAAACATTATGTTTTTATTTCATTAGGGTCTGATTCTACACTACTGGTGCCATCACAACTTTATCTATTGACTTAAATGCTGTCAGAAACAATTCCTTATCTTCACAACACTCTCTTAAAAAAGGCCACAATATACCAAAGCCCATACATTAGTTACATACCCTCACATCCCACTGGCTGGAGCTGTTACGTTAATGAATTTCATCTCCATAAAACATAAGATAAAGGATGAGAAATAAACAAGCTCGAAAAAGATAATGACATTGTCTGCCCATGAGTAATTTCTCCAGTGATGTTCTTTCCCCATGTAAAGTTGCAATAACACAAACTAAAATTATGTATTCCAAAGCACTGCCTGAGCTTAAGCATTAGCCCAAAAATGGAAGGGAAATGGATCAGGATCAATGAGTTATTCTGTCTAGGAGAGCAGCTTCAGTGAATATCCAGTGACTTGGTCCTATGAGAAATAATAATCCCTAAGGCTTTTTACTTAGGGCTTGTTACATATGCATAATGAGCTGTAAGGGCTTAAATACCACTGTGGAGCTCTTGCAGGCTTTTATGAGAATACACTATCACCTATTTTGCAATGCCTTTTTAAAAGCCTTCAAATATGCAGGTCCACTTATTATCTTCCCTTCCAGTGAAATTAGCAGCACCCTAGTGGAGGTGGGGGACTGACAGAAAAGTTACAGCCAATTTGTGAACAGGCAAGAGCTGTGCAGGCTCTGTGCTCACAGCAGAGCTTTGTGCAAGTTCCTGGGTGCTGGGGGCCTTTCCCTGCACCTCTGAACCTTTCTGAAAATGC